TATTAAGTATTGTGACGTAAGCCATGAAGATATCAGTAAAAAAAATCATGAGCGAACAATTAGGAGCCGTGGGATAATATTAGTTATTGTACACTTGCGCATTTTCCCGTAAGTATGCTGTATATATGTCCGTTAGAATTTACTCGGACATTTAATGATATCAAATATATGTCAAATTCAATATATATGGACGTTAGATAGTCTAAACCAAATTAAATTTTATATTGATCTATATGTATATTTTGTACGTATTAGCGTTAACGTTTAAAGTTTTCAAAATGATTACGATAATCTGATACAAGTTTGCTACTTTAGGCAATTACAAGTCCCTGAGATTGGATCTTGCATTATTGTTATATAAAAGATAAAACTCAATAACGATAATTTTTCATGTTTCAGATTCGTTATGTTTATCAGCAATTTTTCTATCCTACGTCACGATTTTATATTTTTGCGATATAATGCTTATCCTAAAAAATCCATAAAATTTAGATTATTATTTACACAAACTCGTAATAATACAAGCCTGACAGTAAATGACATTTCTACCAAAAATTCAAGTAATGGCGTGCCGAAAAAACCTTCAAGAAAATTGGGCAAAACTTATGATCCAGTATGTTTTATTATTCATTAAAAAATCAGTGTTTATTTTCATTGTAACCTTTTTTTTTTTATGATATAAAGTCTATGGTTGAACAAGGATGGTATGATTGGTGGGAATATAAGGGTAAATTATTTTTAACAATATTTAATCAATGATCCAAATGCAAGAATAACATCAATTATATGGTTTGTCATGGGATTTTTAAAAAGGATTTTTTGGATCGAACAGTATGGACGAAAATCTTGAAAAACCCACAAAAAACTTTACGATGCTTGCACCTCCACCCAATATTACAGGGAATTTACATATTGGGCATGCTTTGACACTTAGCATCCAGGTTTGTTCTTACATATGGGAATGATAGTGATGACAACTTTTGATTAATTTATATGAAATATACGACGTATTGCCTTTCAGGATGCAATTGCGAGATGGTATCGAATGTCTGGTCATCGTGTATCATGGATACCCGGAACGGATCATGCTGGTATTGGAACACAATCAGTTGTTGAACGACAACTTTATAAGAAAAAAAATGTATTTTAACTTCCAAATGCAGCATATATTTTTTCAATTAGTTGTAGGAATAAACTCTTTCTTAATTTCTGATATAGCTTACTCGACATGATCTTGGTCGCGAAAATTTTATCAATGAAGTGTGGAAATGGCGCGAACTTCATGGAAATCGAATAATCGAGCAAATGGTGAAGCTTCCTCTTCTGAATATTTGTCGTTGCTGTTGTTAAATATAGTTTATTCAAATTTTAAAAATCAATCTATATATAAGAGACGTTTAGGTGCATCATTAGATTGGAAAAATCTATTTTTCACTATGGATCCCCCTCGGTCGCGTGCCGTGACGAATGCGTTTGTCAAGCTCTTCAATGATGGAATGATTTACAGAGATACAAGGCTCGTTAACTGGTGTTGTGCTTTGGGAACCGCGATTTCAGATATCGAAGTAGGTAAAATATCTTAATTTTAATTATAATTTAGGATCTGATGATAATTATGCAAAGGTAGATTATGAAACTGTACCAAAACAAACATTCTTGAAGATTCCTGGTCATCAAGAAAGGTATTATTCTTTAAAAGTACCAAATTATTTGATATTTGCTATATTGACTTTATTTTTAAATCAGTGTCGAATTTGGCGTTTTACACAAATTTGCTTATCCGATTGCTGACACATCAAGCGGAATTTTAGAATTAGTCGTAGCAACAACCAGAATTGAAACAATGTTAGGAGATTGTGCTGTGGCGATACATCCTGATGATACACGGTACAAGGTTAATTTCGTTAAAAAACATTTAGTTATATTTAATGAGACGGATTAAATGAAATCAGATTAAAATGAAATTGTGTATGACATGAAATAGACAGGCCACCGAAAAATATAAGTTTTGGGGTGCATTTTTTTTTATTTTTTTTTGGCTTTTTTAGTGTTAAGGGTCAGCTTTAGGGGTGGAATTTATAATAAACAATATAAGTGGATTTTAGGAGGCTAAATAGAACCTTCAAATTTCATTTTAATCCGATTTCATTATGGTCCGCGACATTTCATAATGTTAACAGCCTAAATTAATTTTTTAGTCACTACATGGTAAAGAAGTTATTCATCCTTTACTGAATAAGCGGATGCCAATCGTATGTGACGCTGAATTAGTAGATATGCAGTTTGCAACCGGAATTGTTAAGGTATATTTCTTTGTGATAAGTTTTAATTAAGGATAAGTAGAGCCTAATCGACGTATCGAGTTAATAATTTGAATCTGCCTGAGCCGAGTCTAGTCGAGTAATCTTAATTCAAGCGCATTAATTTACTTATGTTAACATTAAATCCAAAATTGAATCGAAATGATGCGGAACAAATGCGCAATAGAAACTTAACGTCCATGACTCAATGTGAGTCGACTTGGCTCAAGAGTGCGGGTTGGGCCACTAACTGAGTTAATTTGACCTACGGCTTGCTGAATCTTGACCATCTCTAGTTTTCATCGTTTTTAATACATAAATTATGTATATTATCACATTATTTATTAGGTGACGCCTGGACATGACATCAATGATTATGCTTGTGCTCGAAGACACCAATTGCCAATAATAAATATTTTGAACAAAGATGGAACGTTGAATGAAAATTGTGGGATTGCAGATTTAATTGTATGTCAAGATTCGCATCTTTATGAGAGCTCTAATTTTACTATTTAAACTTCTAAACTATTCATATGAAAAAAAGAATAAGGATCGATTTGAAGTTCGCAAGGATATCATAAATCGGCTCCAATCATTAGGCTATTATCGTGGCAAGGATGTAAATCATGAAATGAGAATTGCTAAATGCTCAAGATCTGGTGATATTATTGAGCCTTTGCTGCAACCTCAATGGTATATATGTCTTCTATATTTTAAAGATTACTGGCAAATTTCTTAAACATATTTTTTATTTAAAAAGGTATATAAAGTGCAAAGATATGCAACTTAGAGCCTTACAAGACGTCAAAGACGGAAAAATACAGATACAACCTAGTTACCACGTTGAAGAATGGAATCGTTGGTTAGGTGATTTCTTCTCACAAAATGTGACTACCTTGTATGATTGAAAGTTATGAATTTAATATTTGTTTTTTGTGCGCAGGAAATATTCAAGATTGGTGTATTTCAAGACAATTATGGTGGGGACACCCAGTTCCAGCATATAATTTAACTTATGAAGGGCAAAAATCTGGTAAATAATGATGCATATATCTGATTTTTCTGACTTTTTTCTATTTGACATTGTTTCTATCCACATGGACTTATTTTTTTAGATGAAGGATTATGGTTTGCTGCAACTTCACTGTTTGAAGCCGAACAATTTGCCAAGAAATATTTTCAACAAAACAACAGTCCTTCACAAACAAATTACACCCTGAAACAAGTATGTTCAATCCATTTGCTAAGTTGTAAATTTATCAGATCCACTCCATGTTATTTATTTATTTATCAACATAAATGAATATAATAGGATGAAGATGTATTGGATACATGGTTTTCATCAGCATTATTACCATTATCATCCCTGAACTGGAAAGGTGATCAAAATATTCCCGTAAGGATGTATAATTGTCTATTGAAGATTAATGAAATACTACATATTGTAATTAGGTATTCTGTTTATGAACGAATGCAGGAGGTTTACCCTACGACAATGATAGAAACGGGATTCGATATTTTATTCTTCTGGATAGCTCGAATGGCGATGTTATGTACTTACTTCTCAGGGAAACCACCTTTTGAAAGAATTTTGTTGCATGCAATGGTAATACTCGATTTGATCTATTCGAAAGATTTATCATAAATGACAATATAAATGTCAAATGTAGGTTCGAGATGCGCAAGGACGTAAGATGTCAAAATCACTTGGAAATGTAATAGATCCATTAAATGTAATTGAAGGAGTCACATTAGAAGAAATGCATCAAACAATACTTAATAGTAGCTTATCGAAATCTGAAATAGAAAAAAGTATTAAACTCTTATCGAGAGAATTTCCAAAAGGAATTAAACCATGTGGCACTGACTCATTAAGATTTGGTTTGGTAAATTATACTCAACAGGTATGCATATCCTGATTATGATCGACTTTTTATGATGGTATTAGTCATTATCGAATACACTCTTTAACTTTTTTTGAATAGACTAGGCAAATCAATCTTAACGTTTCTTACATTACATCTGTCCTACATTTTTGTAACAAACTTTGGAACTTGTTCAGATTCTCTAACGATCGTTTCTCCTCATTAAATCACATCACACACATCACAGAAACAGTATCTTGCAGTTCATTTATAGAATCTAGAAATCATTTAACATTAGTAGATAAATATATTTTATCAAGATTATCTGATACCGTAGCAAAGTGTCAAGTGGGATTTGAAAAGTTTGAATTATTTGAAGTTACAAAGGTTGTAAAGGATTTCATAGTTGAAGATTTATGTGGGATTTATTTAGAATTTATCAAACCTACCTTGTATGAAAATTCAGAACATATCGACACAAAGGTAGGTTCACTTTTTTATGGACAACATTTATTTTATTAGTAGAATTTTAATTCATGTCTAAACTTTCAAAAGGTTCAGAAAACGACTTTAAAAGTATTAGAAACTTGTCTAGATACGTCACTTAGATTATTACACCCTTTTATGCCATTTCTAACAGAGGTTAGTTTCCAATATTATTTTAGTATTTAATAATTATTAACGATGTGATTATTTTGATGCTTATAATAGGAGCTATGGCAGAGTCTTGTTGAAAGATGTGATAATAGTATAAATTTAGGAACCCCAGAATCGATAATGGTGACAAAGTATCCGAAAGTTGCAGATTTTGAGAATCAGAAAGATCCTACTGTTGAAGATGATATGAAGGTAAAGATTTCTATAACTGAAATAAATGCAAACCATATTTAGGCGTGAATGTTGAACAATGATATATTAAAATGTTCTTTGATATATATAACGATAGATGGTTTTGAGTGTAATCCATGCAGCAAGGTCACTTCGCCAAAGTAATAATATACCACTTGGACAGCCGTTACCGTTTATCATATGGTCTGATGATCAAGATTTATTAGATGAACAAGGATCAATTAAGAAATATTTTCAAGATATAAAAAAGTTTATTAAAGCTTCCGAAATTCGAGTGATTGATGACAAGCTTCAAGTAATCTTTATATTCTATGTTCATTTAGTAATATTTTCGTTATCGCGAATTAATTCGACATAATAAATTTAATTTTATATTTCGTAGAAAGAATCTCTGGAGACTCTGATAACGGATTCGGCAGTAACTTTGATTTCTACAAATCTAAAAGTTTACGTTCCAATGAGTTCAATTTTGGAAATTCAAAAAAACACTGATGTAAATAATTACAAGGATAAATCAAAAACTTCAAGCAATGGCCCACCTGGTACTTTCAGAACTGAAAACTTGTCAAGACTAACTAAAAAATATGAGAAAATTAAAAATGAAATTGAAATTTTGCAAGGAAGAATCACTAAAGTTGAATATTTGAAAAAGGTTCCTGAAAAAGTTAAGGAGAATGATAGGTGCGTGATTATTTTTTGCAAGCATACATTAGAGATATTTATAACATGAGTTTATTTTCAGGAAAAAATTAATAGTATTAATCGAACAGAAGAACGATTTAGAAAGAAATATAAAGCTGGCTCAAATATGAATACACCCAGAATTAAGTGGCTGAATTTTTGAAAATAAATTTATATTTGGCAATCATGTGAATTGTTTTGCAGTTAACATTAGGCAACAATATAATTACTTTTTGATGTAGAGGCCAGTATCGGTTGTAAATTCAAACCCCGATATTTAAGCTAAACCGGCTTGAAATTAAACCGAATTTAATCTGGGTGTGCAATATATGTGGTCGAAATTATTTCGGCTTATTAGAGACTTACTACATAGGCCGTAATGATAATAGTTTCGATCCAAACCGAAATAATTTCGATCATATGTGTAGAGCAATTTACAGTAAAAATCCATCTGATTGGTTGTCGATCCTGAATTTTACTGGCTGATTAGGGTAAACATCCTACAAGTTACTCTCGTTATAGTGAACTCTCATTATAGTAAAGATTGGTTTATAGTGAAGAATTGTTTAGAACAAAATCATTACGTATTAATAAACTTTTGTTCGATATAATAAAGTTAATTAGTAAACTCTCAATTAAGATATATGAAGATTTTTTCTAAAACGGATATAACAAAATGTCTCGTGTTATAGTGAAGATTTGATCATGTGACATATACTGACCAATAAAATTAATGGAATAGCTGTCATATGCAACTATATTACTTTGTGTAACACTTGTTAATTAGATTTTTGGGAATATAAATTTATTATTTCTCTCAATATAGTGAAGATTTTGTTGTGGGTTAAATGGACAACCCACACACACCAAAGAAAAGCGTTGATCAAGGCTTACTTAACAGGTTAGAGGCGGAATCGACTTGGCATAGTCTAAGGCTATAGTTGAGTATTATACAAATAGTGTGATTTGGTAAACTTAAAGAACATGATAGTCTATTTAACACAAAGGGCTTTTTATTCAATTTATTATGTAGGGCAATTGTACTCAGTTAATTAATTGATCAATGAATTAAGTTATTTATTAATGCTTTTACAAGAAGAATTTGACTTCTTATTTATAACAAATTTACAGGTTAAGAAGAAAACAAATTTAAAAATTCTTATTTTTTTTTTTTTATTATATCACCATTGAACTTTAGCCATACAACTCATTCTAGTCTAATTCTACTTTTTGTATATAGTCATTCTTATTGTAACATTCAACAGAATAAAAAAAGAAGGCAAGTTAAATGAAGGTTTTTATGTCATTATCATTTTTTACTTGTGATTTTATTGATTCATTCATTTTTATTTATATTCTTTTCTTTTACATTTATACACTTTACTTAACAAGATAATATTATCTTGATAGCTGTCATACTAAATTGAATAAGTATCTTTTTTTTTAATGAGATCATTGATAGAGGTTTAGTTTATACATTTTCACAAGATTATAATTTAGGTTCTTAGAATTTAGAGGCAGTGTTGTATGATAGTTCTTTTGCATAATGTTTATACATTATTTTCATATTACTTTTTAAGGGGTTTGATATCATGGTTTTGTATATGATAATTTATACAATTTATTATCAATTTTGCTATGTTAAGAGGCTCTCAATAAAAAAAATTTCTTGATATAATAAAGAATTTTTACAGCTCAAGAATTTCATTTTAATAAGAGTAATTTGTATATAAAAATTTAATTAGTTATAAAAAAATTTACTAACAAATCTGATTATAACAGATTAAATTTGATAAAAGAAAATAATAAAGTTTCATTAATAGTTAATTATATAAATTTGTTATTTTCAAATAGAAAATAACAAATTTGTATAATGAATAGTTAATAAAATTTAAAGAAATTTTATTTTCTAATTTTTTTAGCATCTGGCAAATTTAATTTGGTATAATCAGATTTGTTGTCAAATTTTCTTATTCCTTAAACTATATATTATATATATTTGTATGCTTAAATTTTTAAATTTTTAAAGACTTATTACTTAAAATTTTATTAGTTTTATCTTCCACTTTCTAAACTAAAATAAAAATATTTTATATATTAAATGTTATGTAATATTTATTTTATTTTTTTTATAATGTTTTGAAAATTAGTAGATCATAATAGAATTGTAATAGAACTTTGATGTTTAAATTTAATACTAAAAAAAGAACCTACATATGATATTTATAAAGATGTTTTTTTTTTTTTTAATATTAAGGTGACCACTTTGGGATCTGACACATTTTATTAAACTTTGGATTGAATATCAGGATAACCATATGCATTACCCCTAACTTTGTTACATTAATAAGGATACATTCTAGCCATATATACAACTTTTGGTTGTCTATTTAAGCAGTCTTGTATATATAACCTATATGAACTACACT